GGGAACCGAGAACGATGAATATCCCAAATTTGTCATTCTGTCGAGCCGCTGCCTTTAAGAGGTGAAATTCCCTGCCATGGATACATCCTAGGTGCCACTTAGAATCAAATAGAGCTTCTTAATGTTAAGTATGGCTTCGCATATGTTGAAGAAAAAAGTTCGATTTAGGCAACATTCGGTGTCCGGCAGCGAAATTCTAGCAATGGAGAGTATCTCAACAAAACATTCTGTCTGGTTCACTGGCCAAGCACGCCGGCAGCTCAATGGTGAGATTTTTCTAAGCATAAATTGCAATCTAAAGTTGATAGGTGACTTTTTGTACTTGGAGTTCATGAAACAATAACTACTTTATTGCTGAACCTCGCCAAAAAACTATCTATTATACCTAATCTAACAAGATTTAGGTACATTACTACATGTTCTGTACTGATATTCATAATACCTGTATTAGTTATATTCTATTGCTACTATCAGGTATTCTGTAAGCTACGGGAGGCAGCAAAGGTGAGAAATGCCGATTTGTGATTATGCTTTCAACAGTACTATGCATCGGTTCAGGGCTCGAGGCGATTGCAACGTTCTACTACAACTCGAGCACCTTATCAGCGGGTGACACGCAGCGTTCAACGGGTCGTGCTATTTCATCTCCTTTGTTGGTGAGTCGGGTACCGTATACCTACCGTAATTTCCATAAAGCACATAGGTTGTATTTATCAGCACGTAATAGCACTCTGATACTGAATATCTTAACATTTGACGATCTATCGGTAACTATGCACCTGCGGACAACATTTGCTAACAGCATTTGCGCGTGAACAAATTGCCACGATCGCAAAACTTGAAATTGTGCGCTGTATGGTCATTTGCGCGCGCATTTTCAACAAGAGCACTATTTTATCGTTAGAATCTACTAGCCTGTACATAGAGCCATATAATCGCGAGTTATCATGGATATGTAATTTGGCGGATTTACTATTTAATTGCCTTTACAATGGTGACAACATTTGCGCGTAAAAATGGCCAGAACGCGCACTTGTTCAAAATTTTACGCTTCCTGTCCATTTTTTGCGCGCAATTGTTGCTGGTAGTACGAGACTAGCATATCGACAGATTATAAGATACTTCGAAACATTCACTTTAGGACACCATTCTGGCTGTTCAACCTATTCTCTTCATTACTTCGGGTCCGTATCACGTCACAGCTTGAACGTATCGTAGTCAATATCATTCATCTGTTCCCTTATGTTAACTGTGCGCTGAATCCACTTTTGTACGCCTATGGAACAGAAAACTTCCGGATTGCTTTCAAATCGATGTTCATGTATACAAACAGGTAATTTTAGTCTTTGTTTGCTGATTTTTGGAAGCAGCCTACGCGGTACGGTTAACTTGTTTTCACAATGATTAAACTTTCCTAACTTTCTTAATAACTCACAATCAGATTGCTGTGTAAAAATACCATGGTTCCACAACTTTGGAGCGTTTCGCAGAAAATTAGGGACAATCGAAAGTGTAAATAAATAGGTTAACTCCCAAAAGAAGCAATCTTTACAAAACTATGATAAGCATAGGCATTAGTAATGTTCCCTGACCAGGCAAAAATTGAAGCATAGCGACCTAACTCAGGTTTTCCACATCCATGAACGTTACAAAACCCCGACATGCTCCTATAGTGTACCCAATGCGTACTTATATGCATAGTTTATATGGATTGAGTTCAAACAATAATAGAAAGATAAATGAAAAGTGGCAAACTCCGCCCCCATTGGTCCTTCTAAATAACAGATACAGGCAAGGGAAAGCACAGCTGCAAATTCTCGAATATTTACATACATTAGAGTTTGAGAAATAGCAATTTACTAGAAATGTCTTTCGATCCAACTTATTAACCACCCGCTTGGTGTAAAGTCGAATCACATCCAATGCAGTATATGAATCATACACCACCAATTATACACATACTTCAAGACATTTTTTTTT